GGGGTGCAAGAGTTTCTTCAAGCGCAGCGTCAGGAGGAATCTCAGCTACACTTGTCGTGCCAACAGGAACTGTCCCATTGACCAGCACCACCGCAATCAGTGTCAGTACTGCCGCCTCAAAAAATGCCTCAAAGTTGGCATGAGACGGGAAGGTATTGGGATTTCATTTGTTTTCCAATTCTCATTCACTTTTTTTTTTTTTATTTTTTGTGCCTGTTGTGATTTCGAACCCCCCTTCCCCGAACCCAGCTTCCCCCCTCCCTCCTCTCCCTTTCGCCCCCTCCCCGAATAAACCGAGGAAGTTTCCGCGGCTGCGGGGAGCGCTGCGGAGGGTGGCTGGGGAGGGCAGCAGGGCAGGGGCTCCCGCATGCTCCGCTCCCCCCGCTCTTCTAATTGACTCGTGTTTGTTTTGATTCCGCTGGTGGAGCTGGAAGTGGATTTTTAGTTTCATGCCGCTTTGTAGGGACATGACGGTTCTGACGCGCGCTGACTTCTGTTATTATTACTATTATTATTATCACTATTATTATTTTTAATACTCTCCCTCCTCCTTCTCCCTGCATGTGCAGCCTGACCCCCGCGCCTGCAGCAGCTCTGTGCCTGTACGCACAGACAGACACGCACATATAGATATAGCGAGAGATATAGATAGATAGATTTCCACCAAGCCTCAGACTGCTATTTTACACAGGCGGTTCAAATTACTCTTACAATGGGGCTCAGCCTGACGAGGCTCCACAGCTCTGCTTCCCAGCCGGAGTGTACTCCTTAAAAAAATAATAATGTATATTTTATAGGTATTTATATATATGTATGCATGCATAGGCGTATGTGTATATATATATATGGGTGCATGTGTATGTGCGTGCATATAAATCGCAGCGCGCCCGCGGCCCTTCCGCCTCCCTGCCTGGAGCCGCGGGGCAGAGCGGAGCGAGGCCGCGGCAGGGACCGGAGGCGGGAGCGGGAGCAGGGCCGGGCCGGGCCGGGCCCGGCTCCTCTTTGTGCGGCCGGAGCGGCGCCAGCGCCGCTGTCAGCGGCGCGCCCCCGGCGCCACCACGGCCGGGCGGTCCCGCCCCATCGCGCTGCTCCGGCCTCAACACAGCACGCCGTGCTGTCGCTGTGGGCATTTTATTATTACTATTATTATTATTATTATTTTAGCTGTAATGGAGGGAGTAAAACAAAACCAAAACCGAACCCAGCCGGGCGCACAAAGCCGAGGCCGGCGGAGGAGGCAGCGACCGGGAAGGCGGATGCGGCGGCACCGAGCGCGGCGGCGGCTCCGGGCCCCGCTGCGGCCCCGGGCTGGCCCGGCGGAGCCGCACGGAGCCGCCGCGGCCCAGGAGCCCCGTAGTAATTCAGATATTAATAGCTGTAGTTTCTTCTTTATTCACTGCAGCGGTCCAGAGGGGCAGAATGCCACCCACACAGCCAACTCACGGGCAGTTCGCCTTGACAAACGGGGACCCTCTCAACTGCCATTCCTACCTATCCGGATATATCTCCCTTCTTCTGAGAGCAGAGCCCTACCCCACCTCCCGCTTTGGCAGCCAGTGCATGCAACCCAACAACATCATGGGCATCGAGAACATTTGCGAACTGGCGGCTCGGATGCTCTTCAGCGCCGTGGAGTGGGCCAGGAATATCCCCTTCTTCCCAGACCTGCAGATCACAGACCAGGTGCCCCTGCTCAGGCTGACCTGGAGCGAGTTGTTTGTGCTCAACGCTGCCCAGTGCTCCCCCCGCCCCCCCCCCCTGGCGGCCGCCGGTCTTCACGCGTCGCCCATGTCCGCCGACCGAGTGGTCGCCTTTATGGACCACATACGAATCTTCCAAGAGCAGGTCGAAAAACTGAAAGCCTTGCACGTCGACTCCGCAGAGTATAGTTGTTTAAAGGCCATAGTCCTCTTCACCTCAGGTAGGCAGCCTTTCTTTGCTCTTATGCCCCCCCTTTCCCACCCCAAAATAAGCACCCCCACCCCCCGTCCCTGGTCCCCTGTGCAGCCTCCCCGCAGGGCCCGGGCCGCGCATCCCGGCGAGGGCGGCCGGGGCTCCAGGCCAGCCCGCGCCTCGCTCCATCATCCTCCTCCTCCTCCTTCCCCGCCCCGAGGAGCAGGATTTTATTGAAGCACCGCAGCTCGGGGCCTCTAATGACACCCGTCCGAGCAGCAGCGCAGTCGGGGCGCCGGGGGTGAATGCTGGGCGTCCTGGCAGCAAAAACACTTTAGAAAAGAAAAATAAAATTAAAAATCAGATTTTTTTTAAATGGGCAGACAGGAAGGGATATATATATATATAAATGCAGGATTAAAAATATATATTTTGAAAAGAGTTAAACGTGCAGAACTGCGTTTAAAATACGCTCCCTGCCATCTCGTAAAATAAAATAAATCAACTTCCCCAAAGAGCTGCCTCTGATTCAAACAGGACGTGGCAGCGAGCAGCTCCGTGTCCCCGGCCCTCAGGGGGGAAAGGGGAAAGTTTCCATTTTGCACCCAGCAGCAACTGGCCAAGCCCGGGGCAAGCAGCGGGTGCGGAGCAGAGAGGGAGAGCAGAGAGGGGCGAGGGGGCTGCGGCTGCCACGACCCCGTGCCCAGGGACAGAGCTCGAGGTGATTCCTAGAGAATCCAAGGGGAAGGGAAGGAGGGGGGGGTGGTTTATGTGTCAACTTTTGCTGCCTTGAAATAGTGCATGAGTTATAAAGCAATAATTGAGCGCGTTGTGAAATCTAATTAGCTTGCACTAGGGTTTAACCTGAGTGAGTAATAAACCTGATATTAACTCTGGAGGCTAAATATTTTTTTCCCCTTGGAAAAAAAAAAAGAAAGAAAAAAAAAGAAACCTTGCTTGCTAATTTGTGCAGTGCGTTATCTCTGATTGCGAACTTTAAGGTTGCATCGGCAACACACTGTGCTGGAGCCCTGCAAGTTTGGAGATTAACTTTAAATACATATATATTTATTCTGTAGCCCATTTGAAAGCTTGGGAAAGTGGCCACGCGATAAACATATGAATGGAAGCAGGACCTGTAAAATAATTACTCATCGGAGTTTTTTAAAGTCTGATATCAGGAAACAGGAAAAAAATGTAGTTTATGTGGGAAAAGAAGGGCTCACAATCCACTCCTTGTTGCGTTAAAGGGGGTCTGGGGAACGAAGTCATTTTCTGGACTTTGTCCAGGTTCTGGGTCGTGACCTAAACTTCCTTTTATATATTATTGCTCTACACATAAAAAACTTCTTCCCCCACCCCCCCCTTCCCAAAATTACTTGTGCTTCAGCCCTAAGGTGATCAATTAGGAGGGCGCATCTTGCTGGAGGGGGCACTGGGAGCCGAGCGGGACCGTGGGGTGCTCATTCCATTTTCCGCCCTTTTTCCAGGACGTGTTTTCCTCTCCCTTGCTCAAGTGCTCAGCTAGGATCGCCCCACACACATTCATCCCCAGCCCCTGGCCCGAATCCTCCCCCACTTGGGGGGATATGGAGGAGCCTGGCACAAGCCTGTCCCTCGCCCCCCCCCCCCAAAAAAAAAATCACGTCTTTTTTTTTTTTCTTTTTTTTTTCTCCCCTCTTTTTTGGAGCCTTCTGAGAAAACAATCCTCCGATCCTGTCGTAACCGCTTAATTTATTGCTATTTTTCAAAATGTGAGGCCTGGCGTGCAAATTGCCTCCCAACTAGATAAATGTTTCTTGCTCTCTGCTTCGGAGGCGATAGCCACATGCAAAACGTATATATATATGTATATATATATATATACATATACACACACGTATATACATGCATATATCTCTGTAGGGTTATGCATGCAGCTGCTGCAGCACCCCAATAAGAGCCACTGATGTAAAGCAGACCCACATAGATGCATATAGCGTTTGCTGCTGCCTCTTTTAAAAGGGGGGGATCTGGATTCTAATGACTCGGAGAATATGCATGTGTTAGCCCTGTGCCTAGGAAAGCCACAGGGAGGTCAGGTCACAACCTGTGCTCTTTCAGCACAGACGTCTCTGATTTAAAGGGAACTTATTGTATTTTAGCGTATCAGGAAAAAAAAAATGTCCAGACCCTATCAAACCTATCAGGGAGTTTTCTTCTTGTAAGGGCCTTTAGGTTTAAAAAGAAGAAGAGGGGGAAAAAAAAAAGAGGGGGGAGTGAAGGGGGGGGGGAAGAAAGAAAGAGAAAAGAAAAGAGGGGGGAAAAGAAACAGCTCAAATGAACAGAGAGATCACAGTTTGCATGGCTGCCTCTGAATAGGCTAAACTGACAAGATCAGTTTTAAAGGGCCACTTAAATCAGTTTCAAAGACTGAAGAAAAACCCGTTGTCTTCTTTGGGGGAGAATCTGTTGCTGGAGCCAGGGCGCCATTATCTTTGGCTGGGCCAGTTTTATCATTATTATTATTATTATTATTGTTTCTGCCACTGTTGTTAGTATTCCTTCTCAGCACATGGGCAGGCTCTGCGCACTTAATTTCCAAGTGGGAGTGTTAGAGTGGCTTCCTATCCCCCTTTCCACTCAAGCCTTCCCTCCTCCCGCCAGCCTTTCCCCCTAAAAATACGGATATACCAAATTATGCCTGGACAGCACCGCGTTGCCAACCCCCGAGGTCCAAAGTGCACTTAGAAACCTCCAATCTTGGAGCTGTGCTCAATCCTAAAGGAGAAGAGAGAAATGCAAACACAAACACTGTCCCTTTTGGTCAAAACCTACCTAAATTCCCGCGGGCAAGGTGATGGTGCACGATTACACTTAATTCTAGCAATAAAAAAAATCAAATTAAAAAATATAATCTGATGATTGTTTTCTTTTCTTTCTTTTTCTTTTTTTTTAATACACTTTCTTCTAGATGCCTGTGGTCTCTCTGATGTAGCCCATGTTGAAAGTTTACAGGAGAAGTCACAGTGTGCTTTGGAAGAGTATGTTAGGAGCCAGTATCCCAACCAGCCAACACGATTCGGGAAGCTATTACTACGTCTCCCCTCCCTTCGCACTGTCTCCTCTTCTGTCATAGAGCAATTGTTTTTCGTCCGTTTGGTAGGTAAAACCCCCATAGAAACCCTAATCAGGGATATGTTACTGTCTGGCAGCAGTTTTAACTGGCCTTATATGTCCATTCAATAAAATATTGGAGAGAGAAAAAAATAAAAATAACTGAGAAGGGAGATGAAAGAGAGTGAAAGGAAAGCAAATGACGTTTGGGTTCTGGTTGTTTCTTAAATTTCCTTCTGCTAAGAAAGGATGTAAAAGGATGTTACAAGTTTGCTAAGAGAAGACAGGAAAAAAATAATGGACTGTGAATTAAAAAAAGAGAGAGAGAGAGAGAGACTGTCAAATGAACTTTTACAGAATGCATTAAAAACTCCCGTGTCGTTCAGAAAAAAAAAAAAGAAAAAAGAAAAAACTTGCTACTTATCATTCTTTTTTTTGTAAAAAAATAAAGAAAGAAAAAAGAAAGAAAGAAAGAAAAAAGAGACGGAAGAAGAAAAGAAACGAGGGTAGGTTTTTTCTTTTTTTCTTTTTTCTTCCTTTTTTCTCTTTTGGGGTAAACTTTTTAAAAAAATCTCGCTTAAAGTGCATTTAAAGGAAATTTGGAGAAAATTAGCAGAATGGAAGAAAGTAAGTCTTTTTTTTCCAAATTATTAATTGTCCTATGTGTCTATGTACCTATAGCTGTTCTTTTTTGTATTTTTCTGGTTTCAAACCAGTTTATTCTGTGGTTCTATAATAATTTTTGATATAATCTTGGCTTCTTTAAAAAAATGTGTATCCTTAAAATATATGTTCTGAAAGAATTAAAACTGAGTCCACGAGAGTATCATAGGAAGAAAGGAAAACAGAAAATAACCTCAACAACACAATGATGGAAGCGCACTTAAGGTGGTGACCCAAAATCTAGCTTGAAGCTGAGAGTTATAATTATATAGACCCGAATGAACCACACGTGTCATATAACTACCCCCAAATCTAGGTTTTTGATATTTCAGACAGAAAATGAACTGTGGGGATTTATTATAGGTAGAAGGAATTGTGTCCAAGACACACTATACAGTTTTGATTTAAAAACAAGCAAACAAGCAAAGTGAACTTTTGTAATTTGAATTGGGTTCCACATAGTTCTTCATGAATTGTTATTAAACTCCTCTATCTGTTTGTATATTTGCAAGCCCTTTGTATTATAATAATTGTTGATATTTTCCCTTTTTAAAAAAATACCATTGAAATCAGCATGACAAAATAACACTGTTGGCACTTATAGATAACGTGATTGATTCAGTATCTTAGAGTTTACAGTTTTGTGTTTAAAAAAACTGAAGGTTTTTTTTTTAAGTGCAACATTTCTGTATACTGTAAAAGTTATAATAACTGAACTGTTTGGTCGAGTCTTTGTGTGTTATATTCCAAGAAAAATTGAAAGTATTCAGAAATTAAAATATTATTTGATATCTGAAACTTGTTTGGCTGTCATAAATGTCTTTCAGAAACCACATTACTTCTCTCTAGTTTGCAGTCATTTAAGTCAATAGGCGGTTGATTTGTTTACTTGTCACAGTAAGTTTGTAGCAGATGTATTGTAGTGTATTTACCTGTTTAATTCCGGGATGGGGGTGGAGGACTTAAGTTCGTGGTTTATCTGTGGTTTTAGGAAGTACTATGCTGAAATGGTAAACCATCAACCCCCACTCATCTAATCCTCCTGTTAATTAAAAATGGATTTTCTGGAAAAAAAAGGCCCTTATTTTTTGTCACACTTAAGTGCCTGCGTAGGAAAGGTATTGTTATGAAAAACAAATTAGAAAAGAAAAAAAAAAGGAAAAAGTATTAGAAATCTGGAGATCAGTATCTATTTTGTGATCGGAATGGGGCGAAAAAAAAAAAGAAAGAAAAACCTTTTGTACATTTCTGACTTACGCGCACAAGATCATTCAAGCAAGGTAATAGCAGTCTTGTAAATATAGGTCAGTTGTTGGCCACGAGTTTTCCTTTAAGTACGTGTGATTTTTTTTCTCTAATCCTCCGTAGTTGCCATCTATCGTTGTCACTGAGAGGTCTTCACATGGAGTGGCTGTAGCTTCTAGCGCTGAGGAGTCGGTTTCTCATGTACATACACTAGCAAGTGGGTTGTGGTTTTTTCCTTTATTTTCCCCCTTTCTTCATTTATTATTATTATTGTTGTTGTTATTATTATTATCATTTCCTCCCCTCCTGTAACCCCGGAATGTGACAGCGCAGGGCGGCTCGGTGCGCGCCGCCGCGTCCCGCGTGGGGAGGCCCCGCGGCGCCCCACGCCGCGGAAGGGCTAAGGGGGTCGGTCTGTAAAGTCCCTTAGCGCCTGCTCCTCAGTGTGCGCCACGGAGGGACGTGTGTCCTGGGGGCTGGGGGCAGTGGGGGGCTCTGCGGACCCCAGCAGGGTTCCACATCCCAATCATGGCTCTTTCTTTCCCCCCTATAAATATATAAATATATATAAATATATAAATATACTATTATTGCAGGGGATTGCTGACCTCTAGATTTAGCTTTTTCTATTGCAAGTGCTATCCATGTGAGTGCGTGTGCGTGAAGTTTTTATGCTTACTAAGAACACAGGATCTTGACTTGTTTGTTTTGTGTTAGTTTATTGTAAACAACCATTTGTTGTAAATTGTTATTGGCATTAAATTATAATTTATGATTTTCAAATCCAAAACACTCTCTGCTTTTTTATGTTGCAAAGCCTGTAAGCTATCTCTGTATTTATAAGTTTCTTGCAGCGAGCTTTAGTTCACAGAGGATAACAGTAAACAGAAAAGGCACCAGGGTTAAATAAAAACACACACACACTCCGCGGCGCGCACCCAGGCGCGCACCCAGCCCCGTCTCGCGTATATAGGTTTGCAGGGCTCGGAGGAGGATTTGTTTAGGGACTTCAGTTAGTTTTAAGTTTAGAGCATTTAAAGAAAGTTTTTCTTTTCATGCTGAGTTAGAACAAAAGATCTCGCCAAAGATTGAATTGGACAAAAGAGGAGGGTTGGGAGCGAGGAGCTTGTTCTGCGCGGAATTGAGGAGACCTTTTTTTTTAAGAAAGAAAGAAAAAAAAAGCTGCTAAATATGGCG